GTTGCCTTCCAGCTCCAGGCAGTCTTGGAAGAAGCTGATTATCTGGACTCATTTCAAACTTGCTTCAGGGTGGGATACGGGATTGAGACTGCCATGGTCACCTTAGTCGATGATCTCTGTCTGGGTATCGACAGGGGAAGTGTGACCCTGTTGGTCCTCTTGGACATCTCAGCGGCATTCGATACCATAGACCATGGTATCCTTCTGGGATGCCTGAGGGAATTAGGTATTAGGGGCACTGCGCTCCAGTGGCTCCAGTCCTACCTCTCAGGCAGATCCCAGATGGTGAGGCTGGGCAACAGTTGCTCCTCTAAGAGGGAGCTGACATCTGGTGTCCCGCAGGGTGCCATACTGTCTCCCATGCTGTTTAACATTTACGTGAAGCCACTGGGAGAGATCTTCTGGAGATATGGGGCGGGGGGTTATCAATATGCTGATAACACCCAACTATATTTCTCTATGTCTCCGACTGCTGCGGTGACTAAGGATGGCATCTCTCCTCTGGATGCCTGCCTTGGATCAGTAATGGGCTGGATGAGGGAAAACAAACTCAGGCTGAATCCAAGAAAACAGAGGTACTTGCGATAGGTACCCCTGGTCCGGGGAGAGAATTTTGTCAACCGGTCCTTGATGGGGTCACACTTCCCCTGAAGGACAAAGTGCGCAGTTTGGGAGTACTTCTGGACTCATCTCTACAATTATCATTCCAGGTGAATGGGGTGGCCAGGAGTGCTTGGAATCAACTTCGGTTGATTCGCCAACTGCACCCCTACCTGGACCAGAAGGACCTTGAAGCAGTAGTACTTGCCCTGTTAATCTCTCGTTTGGACTTCTGTAACGCACTCTACATGGGGCTACCTTTGTACCAAGTCCGGAAACTTCAATTGATTCAAAATGTGGCAGCCAGGTTGGTCGCCGGTACAACTAGGGCGGACCATATTACACCTGTGTTGAAATCTCTTCATTGGCTGCTGATTAGTTTCTGGGCACAATACAAAGTGTTGGTCACTACCTTTAAAGTCCTACATGGATTGGGTCCGAGTTACTTGAAGGAACGCCTCTCCCTACATAATCCGCCC